CAAACACTCATGTCACACCATTCGCATTGCCTTGCATTTTTTCTTTGTGTTTACTTCTGTGCGTGCGTGGTAATTAATGCTTTTGAAGTGTGTGTTGTGCATGCAAATATTTACCGTTAGAGTCGTGCTTTTGTTTGTCTATAAATATTTTTATTTCGTAGTATTTATGTACATATGTATTTGCAAAAATTTTCAGGTGCACGTGCGGGTACAATCGGGTCAGTGGGTCAGCGTTGGGTGCGAGTGCATTGCACTATGGGCCAGCAAACGATAAAAAAGTGGCCAATATTCGAAATCTTATCGGAATGGCTTAAAACTTGCCAGAGGGGGTTTTTGGGGTCGGTGATTACGAATCTGAAGTTAGATTTTCAAAATTCAAAATCTGATCACGAATTTGAAGTTAGATTTAAAAAAATTCGAAATTGCCTAGTCAGCCTACACCCAGCCCACCAGGAGGAGGATACTCTACGAATGTAGACTTCGTTTCTTAATTTTTCGGTATTTTTTATCTTTACCTTTCTGTTTTTGTTTCTATATTTATAGTTTTTCTACCAATTACGAATGTAGACTTCACTGTTTTATTTTTTATACTTTGCATTTTTTTTTATATATTTTATATGTATGTATTCTTTTTACGAATTACGAACTTGGACTTCGCTTTTTTAATTTTTTTTTGTAGTTTTGTTTACTTTTGTTTTTTTTTTTATATATTTTTATATTTTTTTACCAATAACCAATTAAGGCCTCTTTTTTATTTCTTTTTGTATTTTCCATTTTACATTTTGTCGTTTATTATATTTTTTCTTTTTTTTTCATTAATTACGAATTTAGAATTTGTTTTTCTTTATTTTACTTTTTATTTTGAAGTATATTTTTAATTTCATTAAATTAAGGTGGTTGAACGCTTCTCTCAGAAAAAGAAATTTTTGATTTCAGTTTTGAAATAAAAAATAAAATTAAAGTGTGCATGAATCGTCAGTTATATTCATCATTTTGGAACTTATCTCAGCAACTCGGAAAACTAATGGCCTTATTCATAAAAAATAAAGTAGGTTTAAAGAGCTTTATAAATTGACGTTTTCATACATTTTTCAATTTATAAACCTTTTTAAAGCTACTTTATTTTTTATGAATAAGGGCATACAAATTTAGAATTAATTATCTACAGGTAGTGATAAACACATATGAAGGATCGAACCAAAATCGCTCACGCGGATACAGCGCCGGTGAAGAAGGCGAATAAAAGAAAAAAAAATTGAAAATAAAAATTTACGCCTGGCTCAATAAAGATGTCGAATTATTTTAAGCAAAGACTTTTTTGAATTATGTTTTTCTATTTTTTTTATATGTATTACTGTATCTTATTAATAAGAAAAGAAAAAACAAAAGGAAAATATTTATTATATTCTGGAAAAAAATGAATTTTACTATACACCGGATATATAAACTTCAAATACAACTATTTCAATCAAAATGAAATTGTGACCACAATATTGAGGCAATTGATATAATATTTTACTAACAGTTACCTTAAATACTGTATATTTTGGCTAGTAGAATAAAAAATTAGTAATTAATTCTGGACCTCTGTGCATTGTGTTGCAGGTGGGAGGGAGAACTCGAAGCGACTTTTTTGTATGTTTTATTTGCATGTTATACTCTGTGTTTTGCTTTGTCACTTGTTGGCAGGAACTAAATTTTGTTTAAATGCTGATATTGATGGCATAAGGGAAAATGCGACACTTAACTGATGTTTGCGCTGTTAATTGATTTAGTAAATTGTCTGTGTATTTAGAGAGGATCATTGGCCCTTTTATGAGTATGTAAATATGTATGTGAGTATAATAATGATTTTCATTAAATGTTTATTTCATATTTAAGTGAACGCGGAATATTTTCGGGTGCAGTGCAGTTCTGTTTTTCACAAAAGAAAGTAATATAAGCGCTGCTTGAAAAACTGTTTTGATACACAATACCTAAAAGTATACTACATATAACAGCCCAAAATTGAATACCTACTTAAGCGCAAAAATTATTCGAACACGCGATAAATAAGACCCTGGGACTATTTGGCCGTAACGTCGAGATCATAGCCGTGGTATTCTGTAAACTCAATTCAATTCAGCGTTTATTGAGTCTATGATTACAAAAACTAATAGAGACCAGAGTAAAATTAATAGGTGAAAAAGTAATTTTAGAGGAAAAACCAAAACCGACTTAAATTCTACTATGGAAATTTAAGAAATGCGACCACCGCTTAGGGGTAACGTCACGTGTTCGTATACACGAAGTTTAAGGTGAAAATTAAGAGAAATCATGTTGAAACCTTTTTCCGTGCGTTCCCATCAGGCAGTGTTCGGAGATCACCACGACTATTAATCCGAGCGAAAAGCGGCCTAGTCGAGTGAGAGCTATGGATCGCTTTACATTAGTCCTTGACCAAAATGTGCCTAGTCGTATGGCAGCTGGTTTACACAGCCGACCTGGTGTTTACCTGCTCGATAAGTTCGGCCTTTAGTTTGTGTTTGCAGGAGGTTAGAGGTATGCCCGCATTTTGAGCGGAGTTCACTTCAGATATTTCTGTCCCACTCCTTGCCAGTTCATCGGCTAAGCAGTTGCCAGGAATGTCCCTGTGTCCAGTGACCCATACAATAGTCAAGGAGCCTTTTGATGCCAGCAGGTTGAGAGACTTCCTGCATTCTATGCCAACTTTGGACGTCGTTCCGTTGGATTTAAGAGATTTTATAGCAGTCTGGCTATCAGAATAAATAGCGATACGTCATCCTGGAAGGGCGGAGATTATGAGTATCCAAACGATCTCCATTATGGGCTGCTTGAGAAACACTCTCTAAGAGAAAACTGAGGTTTAGCGCGAGTTCGAAAGAATATATCCCGCTGCCCACTCTTTCGTTAATGTTGAGACCATCTGGCCGACCCTGGATTTAAGTCTGTGGCCCCTTCCTTTTCGTTCCTCTTAGGGATTTTTGTGGAGAATTTCTTGTCTAAACGGAGTTGAGGAGTGGCCTAATCTAACTGTCGTAGATGATCCGGTAAAATTTCAAGGACCTTTGCGTATCTGAATCTGGAGTCCCTCCACGGCTGGATCGTACTTAACCTGACCGCACTGCAGCCGGTCCGAAATTTGCCGAAGAGATCCACAGGTTGATGATTTAACATTACTTCCAGAAATTTGAAGGGTTTAGTAGGCAGTGCTCCCTTGACGAGCATGCCAGCCGTCCTCTGCAAACTCGTTCTTCCTTGGCTCAGGACAAGGTTTTGTTTAGGGCGAGCAACCTCGGTTCGCCGGTTTTAGGCAGATAACAAATGAGTTTTCGTTCATAAGAGAGATGATGATCCTCCCAAGGCACATTAAACAGGTAGCACCAGCAGGCTTGCAATTTTTATTTATTTTTTAATTCGAAGTGGTCTCTGCAATGTCAAATTTTGCTTACCTTTTTAGACTTTTTAGAGTAAAAGAAGATTTTTAAAAAGCATATTCGTTGGAGGAATTTGGAAAGTGTCTCCCTTTTTTCTGCATGTTTTCAGGGCCAAACCAAAATAATGAGGCAAAATAAGGTCATTGAAGTAAAACCAAAAGAAGATGGCGCGCTAACCAGCGAAAGTGAAAAAGTCGGTTGTACCAATGGGAGACGCTGGCGAAAAGACTGTCTACAGGAGCTTGAAGCATATGGAAAAGAAACGAACACACCTGGATTGCGGCGTATGCTCTCCAATCGAACTGGAAGATTTGAGCGGCAAGTTTTCGAAATATGTGTTTCATAAATCCCAAAAGCAAACTAAAAACCCAATGCATTTTTCCCAACTGCAGCGCCCTATGGACACTCGTTTTCGTGCTCGCTATTGGGCTGCTCATTTACTTCAGCCAACATTTAGCCAATCGTTTTACTCATAGCGAACTCAAAACTACCATTTATTCAACCAACTACCCCCTCTATAAGGTACCCTTTCCTGAGGTGACAATTTGCAATAAAAATCGACTCAATTGGGACCGTCTGGAGCAAGTGAAGCGAAAATTCCTCTGGCCTGTACATCATAATACTTCATATGAACAGCTTTTTATTCAGATTACCGCAATGTATGATTCCTTTGCGTTCGGCGCCTTTGATCGTTTTGCAAAGCTGGCGTCGAGACAAATTGCGGAACTCAGCTACATTAATTTCACAGAAGTGGCACGGCATATGACGTGGCGTTGTGAGGAGCTGCTAACGGATTGCATTTGGCGCAGTCGACCGTTGAACTGCTGTGATATATTCATACGGCGGCGTTCGACTTTGGGTATTTGTATGGCTTTTAATTCGGTTGAGTCAACCGGCGGCAGATTAAAAAAGGAAATGGACTCGAAATGGCCGTGGCGTGTGAGTGTGGCAGGGCCACAAAGGGGTCTACAGGTGCGTGCATTGCTGAATGAAAAGCAACATTCGCCCGACTCGAATGCTTCTAAGGGAATTTTGGTGAGTCGACTGGCGGAAGGAGTAAAATATATATCCGATGTGTTTCTTTACTTTCAAGTTAATGACGGTTCAACCGAATGTTTGGAGTTACACACCCATCGAGATACCTGCCAATGCGCATGCGCATGTTCATCTTGATGCGTTTATGAGTTTTTATGATCCACGCGCCAGACGAGTGCCATCAAAAGTGCGTCAGTGCGTTTTTATGGTATAGAATTTTGTTCAAAATATACGCTGTGGTAAAAACGAAGCCAAAACTCTCTTCTCTTTTCTTTCAGGATGAAGCGAATAGTCCCCATTTTAAAACACTTCTGCATCATGTTTACATGTTCGAAAATTGTCAAGCGGAGTGTATGCAAGAGTATCTAATGCGTTATTGTAATTGTACCGTTGACATATTTTTTCCGATTGGGCCATACCCGATATGTCAGGTGGTTGATATGCCGTGCTTGGCGCGCCATAATCGTAAGTTTACGGGTCGAAACACTTTTATCTTTATTGAGCATTTTCACTGTAGATCTACTAAAATACTTTGAAGACCCAACGAAGTCACCCTTTACCGCTAATAACCCTGGCATGAATTGTAATTGCTTCTTCAACTGTCGCTCGTGGCGTTATGTGGTGAAGGTGCGCTCCAGAGCATTGTTTCAATCCGAGAGTTGGATTACTAATGACACAGTGCTGCTGGATATAAATTTTAGGAAAGACTCAATCATTGTTTATAAAACGGATCTAGTTTACACCTGGCTGGATTTTTTATGTGAGCAGAAAACGTTTGGTTTAAATTTTATTTTTTTTTGTCATGAATACACATTTTACTGCAGTTAGCTTTGGCAGCATTACAGTGCTCTTTCTTGGCTGCTCCATCATCAGCGTAGTGGAGCTGATATATTTTGGCCTTGTGAAGGCCCTACAGCGAAGACTAGGAAAATCGACAAGCGCCGGGAAGTTAAGGATAATTACACCGCACAAAAGACCGCCGCTGCGTTCATACAGACTGCGTAGTGAAAATAATTTAGATTTGTATCGAAATGTGTATACGAGTATGTAAGATCGTAAGCAGTGTATGTAGATACAAAAGAACCCAAACGATAAAGGAGTTTGAGTTATTATACGAAATTTGAGTTTGAATTTTAGTTAATATTCGTGATTGAGTTTGCGCTTGAGTTTATTATTCAGTTTGAATTTGAATATGAGTTGAGTTTGA